CTGTCTCTGCCCACACACGTGATCTGTAAGCAACCCTGTCTGGAGGGCTGGACCTCACTGCCCCAGAGCTGGTCATACCACCTAGAGGGGTGTCCATCCATAAAGCAGGCTAGATCCATGCCATTGTCGTCAAGCTGACGAAGATGAGCCAACTGTGCTAGTAATTTGCAGACGGGGGCAGTCCAGTTGGTTGTAAGCATTTGAGGTAAATGGTCAGGTAAAGATGTAAAGTCATGGTGGGGTGGCTATATTAAAGCTAAAATTGTAAAGTTGCAGAAACTCAGAGGAAGCTTCTGGGGAGAGAGATGGGAATGGAGTATACACTGCAGGGAGAAGCAACGAAGCAGTGAGAAAGAGGGGAGAACCCATGAAGCTGCCTTTGCTCCTGCCCTCCCCCCGCTTCTTAGTTTATCCTGGGTGTCACGAGGTTTCCCACCTTCCTCAGAGTAACAGTCCTTTCACAAACACTCATCTTTTTTCCATAGTTTAGTTTGAGTGTGTACCTGCAACTAAGAATATAAAGCAGAACAATAAAAAATAGGACTGCCAGAGGTCTGAAGAAAAAAATCATTCAACTTCCAAAATGTAGGAAAGATTTATTCTAGAATCTCACAGATGAGTAAGATTAAAGCAATTTTTTAAAAAATTCGAAATTGGACACTAAAAATAATTTGTTAGCGTGTAACAAAGAAAGAGGTGATAATTAATGACCACTGCTGATCTATGAAGAAGTCATACTAAAATTACATGAATTTCTCTTTGTGACAGTGTCACTAGAGTGGTAGATCCCAGGGCGCCATGGACACTCCCTCATGTCACCTCTAAGGGGGTGTGAAAGAGCATAAAATAGAGGGTGTGTGGTGTCATGGCTGAGAGCATCGACCTGGAGCCACAGCGCCAGGTAGAAAGCTTGGCTTCGCCGTCACCTGTAATGTTTGTGACTGTGGACAACCTGTATCTACCTCAATTGTCTCATCTGTCAAATGGGGACAATATTTCCCCCATTACAGGGTTGCTGTTGTAATTTCTTGGCAAATAATAAGTGCTCGATGAAGATCAGCTATTATTATTACCAAGTTGTTTGGTGCTATCGCAAAAGTGTTCAATAACAGATCATTTTAACCAAAGAAATCTATTATTTTGAAGTATTCAAAACAGGTATCATCCTGTTTGACATTTTTATCAATTATTTTTGAAGATGTAGTAGGCCAATGGTCAATAAATCTTTATGCAAATGAATAATTTGCAAATGAATAATTCTCTACAGAGCACATAACCAGGATTTAGAGGGACCACAATGTGAGGGAATCCTTAGGCAAAACAGTCAAATAGAACTTACTAGGGATACTATCCTACGTATGGCTATGAAACCATTATAATTTATGTTAAAGTGACCTAGAGATGAGAGGTCTTAATAGAGTCCAGCATTATGACATGACTAACAATAAACTCACTTAACCTCAGCTTACAAGACTAGAAGTATATGAACAGATAATATAGTCCCAGCATATTGGGCCCTGGCCAGATTAGCTGGAGTGCTGCATCCAATCCTGGGCCACATTTTAAGAGAAATGATGTACAAGAGAACATGCAAAGGGGGGCATCTCATGCGAGCTTGTTGCATGAGGACCAGTTAGGGAAATGAAGGATGAGGATGGGAGAAAAGAGGCCAGGACTTGATGATGACCTGTCAGGAGAACTCGGACACTGAACTCACAGACTTAGACTGTGGTCTACGTTCACTCTCTCCCCTTCGCACCTTTTCACACTACAATCATCTTCCTGCTCCTGCCACCCCTCAAACACTGCTCTGCCCAGAGCCACATGGATCTCCATAGGACACGCCTCAATCTTGACCTTTCTTGACTACTTGGCAATATCACCTTGTTGACCACTGTCACCTTCTATTATACTCGCTTCCCTCAGCTTCCACGACACAATAACCTCCTGGTCTTCTTCTCGTTTTTCACCACACTCATCCTCCCTGTTGACCTAAAACACGCTCCGGCCACTCTGTACATGTCTGTGCTGATTTCTCACAAATTCATCACTTCCGTTTGTATATTCGCTCACCTGTAAGAAATCTCCTTCCACATGGAAACTCAGACTCAAAATAAAAATGAATAAGTGAAATCAAGATGTAAAATACAGAAAGAATCCTTAAAGTTGGCCTCTCATAACTATATGAACAATACGGTCTTACTCCTTTGAGCAAACAATGCTTCCTCCCAACGAATATTTTATTTCCAAATCTTAATCATTTTATTTTGCCCAGAGGACAAAATAATAAAGGATGGACTAGATTCCCAATGGGATCTTTACCAACCCACACCTCTCAGCAAAGCTGGGCACGATACCCGACCAGCACCTAATCAAGTCCTATCTTAGTTTCAGTTTTATTAATACAAAATAATTCTGGCTGCAGTAACAGTCACTCAGTTGGAACTTGGCTAAAACACTTGAAAAAGAAACCTTTAACCAGAAGTTGTTAAAATAATGAAAACTAGATTTTTGTGTTTGTGGTTTTTCCCTCCTTAAATGGTTATTTGTGCTTTTAAAATTTCCATCACAGACCAGCCATTGTGGCGATCGCTCTGGCCTTGCCCCTTGGCTTACAGAAGTGGAAAACATCTGGCAACAGCATCGTCCCTTGGAAGCCTCTGCTGAACTTCTGGTTCTCATTTGGTATTTTTGCTGCTTTCACCATCAATGTTGCACAAGGTGGATGGCCTGCCTGTAACAGCATCTATGAAGGGCCTCTCATGAGCTGCTGCAGTTATGGAAACAAGTAATTTGTTTTATCCCACAGTTTTCAAACACCTCCAAAAACTATCTGATGGGCCGTGTTACCGTTCCGCCCTTGAGTAAGTACAAAGATGGAGTTCGGTCCCTGAAAAGGTTTCATCTCATTTCCTCCCCGCTCCTTCTGCCAAAGCCTCTTCTAAAGTCCATTTTGAAAGCCTCCTCCCTACTGCAGCTTGCTCCATTGTGCTTTGCCAGATCACTGCACGGTCCTAGTGTACTGCAACGCATGCAACACTCGGCAAGGCCATGAGCTCTATTCTGGCTTGTACTAAGAGGGGTAGAATTACAGGCAGTGTGCAGGCTCACGCCACAAGGCCAGTTTGGAATTCAGTTCTTTGTCATGAACTAATAGCTATCATTAGGCTGATGCTACAATATGGCTGTGATATTCAATTCAACCTGACTGAACTCCTGTAAGGTTCCAAGTCTACAATCAATGCCTCAGTTATAAAGTTAGTAGAAGACAGCCCATAACTTCACGTAGCTTATAGTCAGGTAGGGCATGTGGACACAGTCGCAGCTGGCAAATATACGATATGACAAACTGCTGTGTTTGTGCTATGAACAAGGGGCTTTGAAAGCAACTTTTCCATCTTTTCTAAAGAATGATCAAGATTTCACCATATGAAGAAAAGAAAAAGATGGCTACTCCAGGCAAATGGAATGGGACAAGCAGGCCATTATTAAGCTTGTGAAGACCATTTAAATATCAGACCATGGGAAATAGACTTAAAACCGTTGTCAAGCATGTGTTTGTAAGTTTGTTTTATGTTGTGTCATATTTTCTTTGAATACTAGTCAATATTCTTTCTACTAAGTAAACACTATGGCACTATTTCTATAATATTGAACTTTTCTAAATATAAAGCAAGATATTTTTTTAACCCATAAAATTATCCCTCAAAAACAAAGGAATCCATATTTTCAGGACCTTACAAATCCTCTCAAAGTACAGAAAGTTTTCTCCTCTTTGTTTTGAAAAACAAAAGTGCCATCTGGAAAAGATATTGTTAACTTCAAATAACTTTAATTAATGTTACTTTTTAAAAAAGAAATGGTAAAATGAGGGTTATGAAAATTTTACAAGGATAACGTATTTTTTCCTGGGAATACATCCTAAAGTTACAAGTGTTGGATGTTGGAAGTCTTTGCAAGCAAGACTTCTAAAACTCACTGATCACCCTAAAAAGAAAAACACTAAGTCACTGTGTTGTGGATGAGGAGATGGGGGGAAATCCTAATGTTATCAGAGATGGTACTTGTCACTTCAGAAAAGATTCCTAGTGAAAACATCATATGAGGATTCAAAAGTGGTATATATTAACAATGTAGATAGATGTAAAAATGATATGTTAGAAGACTCAAAAACTAATTTTATTAATGATGAAAATGAGAGGTCAAAATATATATAGGTTGAGTAAAATTGTTTTAAAGTATGAAAGTGGAAATCAATATTTCTAAATTAATAGTTTAGAAAATACATAATTTTATATTTGAATGCATAATTACACTAATTAAGTAAAATAGGTTGTTGCCTAACGTTACAATCTATAACCATAAAAAGTGGCATAGGAAAGTTAGCAAAAAAGCTTTTTTACTGTAAATAAAATACCTTATTATAAAATTGGGGGATTACTTCATATTTTAAGTTGCTAAATTTTCAAACTACTTTTATTGTTTAGCATTGTAGAGAGAGTTTAATAAGTGTCACTGGTGGTCATTATTATAACATCAAAACTTCTGTTTTACACAAAGAAAAATGAACTAAATTGGACACAAATTTAAGAAGAAAGACAAAAATCAAAATCATGATTCCTAGTTTGAGGTAAATTAAGTATTAAATAAAGCCATCATACTCAAATATTCTCTGATCTCTTATTTATAGAGATCAAACATTAAAAAAAATAGAAGTTACTTTCTTTTCTGCATTATTTAAACAATATGAGGTCATACTGAAACCTGAAAACACAGATAATTCTTTGTGTATATATCGTAGTAGATTAAGTAGCCTTAATATTAAAATGAGGCAGTGAAAGAGACATGAAATATCCTGTTCAAATACCACGGGCAGCTGGTATATTATAGAAGTTTAGAGCACGATTAGGAAGTTACTTCTGCAAAGCCTGATGACTGCTGGCTTGGTTTGCCTAATTGATTTGAAAATGCAATGATTTATTTAGCTTCAGAATACATACCTCTAAATAGTCTATGGAGCAGTTTATGTGATTTTCCAATTCAAATCCTAAAAATATGTAATTCACAGTGTTGCCAGTTGTAGCTTGGATGGTCCAGTTGCAACGCTGATTATCAGAATAGGGATTTGGGTAATGTATACTCTCTAAGAGGCCATGGGTTTGATTCACAATCATCACGTTGTTACATGCTGGAAAAAAAACCATGACTGTTAGGAACCACAACCATATAATGTCATAACTGTGTGAGATTTTAAGAAAGCACCTAGATTATATATATATAATTGCAGCATTTTTATAGTGAAAGCATCTCCATTTAAAACAAGTGTAAAATAATACTTAATTGAATTCATCGACTTTAAGGTGTCATGAAAATTGCCTGTTAAAGTGGGCATCAAAATCCTGTGGATTGGTGGACAGCAGAACAGACAGCTTAGCACTACCCAGAGATCAGTCTAATTTGCTTAGAGAGTGTATTAAATATGTTATGCTTCTGTTTTTCTAACTTTAACATTTGGAAGGAACAAAAATCTTGACCTTTAAATTCAACAGTTTAAAAACACTAAGTTCTATGTGAATGCTAAAAACAAATAACAACATGGCTTTGTTTATTCAAAAGTCAGCATGAAATTCACAATAAAGGCTCCTATTCGTCTACTTAGTCATCAGGAAGTACCAAACGAATAGAGGGAATGCAAAGGATTTGAAGAAATGAAAATCTTAAATTTTGAAAATGTCTTCAATCCAAGGTTGGAATTTTCTTCAGCTGAGTTTTCAGTGAAACTACACTATACACCTCTAGACTAGGTATAGCTCTTCCTGGGAGTCAGTGCTAAATTCTGCCAAACCGAATGACTTGAACGAGGTGCATTTTTTCAAGTCTTTTTCATGTTGTCGTATGATGTGCAACAAAAGAGAATGGGAAAATACACATTATATTGAAAACGTTTTCTCTGAAGAATGTGGTTCATAGGTGCATTTCTACTACAATATTACTTCACGGCAGGTGGCTAGAACACCATTTATAAACTTTGCTTTGGAAAAGTACACATTTGTGGATCTTCAAAGTCTTCCATTGCTGGAGCAGAAGAAGACTCAAAGTATTTCTCTTTGAAAATTTTTAGGTCACATTTTGTTCCACAAAGGATTTCTAAAGAATAATTTTGTTGTTTTAGATGTCTGCGAGAAGTTACAGATACTAGGCAGATAGGTACCGTGTGCCTCAGTGATGACAAAACAGGGCAGAGGAAAATATTTTTCGTTAAATCACTTTCATTAAACATATTCCATTAAATATGTTCTAGGCTGCTCTCACTGCTCAGAAATTATATCATCTGCAGACTCCCAATTTTAAATGGCAAATTATACAGAAAATCTCACTGGTTAGCTTAGATTTTACCTTTAAGGACCTATATACCCCATGTGCACTAAGCTACTCCTTCAGTGTTATAAATTATGAGAGAAAAATAAAATGTCACAAGAATAAAAAGAAAAGGGACTTTTCATAAGCTATCTGACTGTAACCAAGAAAATTTATCACAGCAATAACAAAATCAGAGAAATGATTACATGTTCAACTAAACAGACAGATCCCTGATAGAATCTGAGATAGCTTTTCATACACTAAAGCTATATATCATTAAAACTCAGCATTAAAAACTATTTAGAATTCAGCCTAAGCCTCAGATGTAAGCGAATGTAAATCTTCAAATTCACACTTAAAACAAGGTTAAATATTAATACTCTCAACTAATCCAAATGTATATTCAGAGTATGATTTGGTGACTCTGAATTCCATTTTTAGGCAATTGTGTAAAAATTATGCATAAATTTAGATTTAATGGGCCTGTACTTTCAAAATCACAATTAAAGTGTTAAATAATATAAATTCAAGGGAACCTTGTTTTCTTGAACATCCATTTTGAAACTTTTAGAAAGTGTTTAATTCTAGAAGGGAACTTTTGTAATCACCTAATTTACTCTCTTTTTTTAAGAGACAAAATCATGGAACCTAGAGATGAAAAGTGGCCTTTCCAGGGGTTGGGGGGCAGGACAAACCCCTGGATCCCCAGACTTTCTGCTCAATACTCCTTTAATTCCACCAGGCTGCCTCATGGGAAAGCAGATTTTAAAATGGCATCTCTACAAAGACCAGATTTTCCACAGTAAAGAATGTGGCTATTCAACATATGATTCAGAAGGACCACAGTTTCCATTAATAAAATTAAGGTATCTTTTGAGGTACAAGACAAAAAAAGAGGTACTATGTACAATGGAATAATGTCTAATTAGCAGATTATAATGTTTGATACAAATGAAAAATCATTAGCTGTTAACCTGTTAGACTGATCTTTAGCTGAATTGCAACTCATACTAGCATATTAAACACACTTCCAAGTTTCTATGGTTTACCACATGCTTTAGTTACATGATAAATGTAATGTATAAGCATTTCTCCCTCAAATAGTTAAATTTTTCTCATAAGGAGATAAGATTTATTTTAATGGCTCAAATCGAATGGGTTACTCATATTTTCATTTGTTTTATTCATCGAGAGATTGAAGACCCACTACAGGTTCTGAGCAGCCAGTATACATACTTACTCTGCTGGTATTTGGCCAGGAAGCCACCTCCTTGTTGACCTTCATCTGTCCTCAGTTTTAAAAGCATGCTGTCTCCACTAGAAAGAATGAGAGGCGGTTTCTCATTCCCACAAAGCTGAGCTAGCAAATGAGAGCTGGTGCTTGGGCCATCATATACCTTTAATAAAACATTTTAAATGTCAGATGATTATGGCTATAAACATTATGTAAAGGACCCTGTAATCCTTTAGAAGTAGGGAAGAAATACATATAGGACATAACGAAAGAATAGCTCTGAACCAAAATATCGTTAAAATTTATATTTAAATGTCTCTAAACTTGTGCCATGAACTCGAGCCACTTAGCCATGGCTGTGTATGAAAGTAAGGATGTAAACCCAGGTTTAAATCTGAAGATTGAAAATGAAAGACTAATACATATTTTTGAGACCATAGCTGTTATCAGAAGTCCTCCTTGCTTTTTCATCTCATAGTTTACAATTTATGACACTTCAATACATTTTTTATTGAAATTGTTTTTTAATGGACAAGGCTGAATTGCTAGTACTATAAAAAGTCTTATTTGGATGACTTCCATTATCCTCTCTAATTCATCAATACAAGCCTCTAAATTGTTATTTTTCATTTCATATATTGAAAATAGATAGATAATAATTATGATAAGTCTTACAACCCCTTACAAGAGACTTTTAACCATATCTTAATTGTCCATATTCAATATATTTTAAATGCTTAGTGTACTGAGTCATTCAGTAATACATGCTGTACTTAGAAGGCTATCATTTTCAATTAATTTCTTTTAATTTTGAATTTTGTTGAAAATGTTTATGTGGATTTTTAAACAAAATGGTCCCCTTTCCTGAACCTCAAAAATAAAAATTAATGCATTTACTCATGTTGGGCGAGGTGGGAACAGTGCATGACATATCTGAAATTTTATACATACAGCCAGATAATCTGAAGTGCAGTTTGGATGATGCTCCAAGTGAAAGTCTTCGAATTCCAGTTCAAATGGGCTGCCGTGACTGGACTTCAACCACCAGAAGCATTCGGAGCTGTGGTAGTAGGGCATCGGGTAGTTGGGAGACGTGAACGTGCCGGTGGGAGTGGTGAGATTGCCCCCACAACCTACAGGAGAGAGAGTTGGAATGATGCGCATCCTTTCTTTTCTGGTAAAATGGAATCTTCTTCTCCATTTCAAACTGATTACTGTTTGTCCCCTTTAAACTGAGTTGCAGAACAACTACATCACCAAAGAGTAGCTGGCCTGTAATCCTGATTCATGTCAATGTACTTTTCCTAACCAAGATGACCAGCTTGAAGAAATCTACCAGGGAGCCAGAATGTCTTCCCTTACTTTGTCCTTCAAACACAAAAGGCTGCTATTAATTCAGAAACATTTACAATGTTGAAGTTTATTACAAACAATCACAAAACACAAACTGGAAAAAATGGATGGGTATGGCGATCCAAGAAACAAGAAACCAGTGCAACTGGACTCTACAATCAAAGACAGCTCTTTGCTACTTACCTGTTAATGATCCATCCCAGTAAGCTGAGAATCCAGATCTGGAGACAAGGCCGTCACTCTTAAATTGTAACCATAGTTTGTTACTGTGAGAGATGATTCTTGGAGGTAGATTTGAACCACAGTACTTTCCCAGGGATGGTGAAGTTTCATAGCCTCCATCTCTGTGAGAAAATACAGATGTAAACTTTCATTAGGTTATTGATATAACCTACTGCATAAACATTTAACATTATTTGAACTTTGAGATCACAAACAGATTAGTTTTCATCAATCAATGTCTCTCGAAAACACTCTAAAAAACATAATTTCAAGTTTTAATTTATTTAATAGTATTCAAATAACTTAATAAAAGAATAACCATTGTTTACTATTGGCACGACATTTTTTATAACCAATTACAAACTGAGAAAAAGTGTTTAATTTTCTCCTCAAATAAAGTGTCTGGCAAATGTATCAGAGAACACAGAATAAAAAAGCCATAATTATTAACAGTGTATATAAATGTTGCTTTATTTAATGGAGAAACCTTAAATGTTTTCCTTCTAATGTGAAAATTTTCAAAATTTAATATGATGTATTTAGCAAAATTTTAAAATACTTCTTTCCCCGAGAACTTTTGGGGTCTTAAATCTAGTTTATACTCTGTAGCTTTTAAAGGCCTAAGGGGAAAAAAAAGGATTCACTCGCATTAAAGTCTGATGATTAATTGCTGTAATTTAAGAAAATTATGTTATTTTAGCATAATATGGTACAATTGTGATTTATTATTTTAGCACCTTAGTTTATATCATAGAATAAAATTTGCTATAAAATAATATAAAATTCCAAATGAAAAACAGATGTACATCAAATTGATTAAGCAATTTTAACTCAATAAAATAATCTCAGTAGATATCAATAAATCAGTTAACTTACCTTTAGTGCAAATATAACTTTTTAAATACATTCTGTCAAACTCGCAAAAAATTAAAGAAAAAAAAGCTTTGTACTGAAATTCACAAGCCTAGACTTTTGTGATCTGCACACAAAAAACTTTGTGAAAATCCTAAGATAAGGTTGCTATCTTAGCATCATTTTTATTATAATTAGACTAAATGGACAGTAAATTGCCTAAAATTTAAACTGTTTTTATATAAAGAAAGGAAATATTCAACAATAGCAAGTATCTAATTTCAGAGTGTCAGTACCTTTGTTTACTCTACCCAAATAAAATCTGGAAATTATTTTCAAATATTCCCAATAAAAGAATCACTTCAAAATAACCACTGAACCTCATGCAATTGTATGTTTTTCTTCTCTTAAGTCAGGCTCCAAATGACAAACTTTATCTCTTGAGAAAAAGAGCACAAAAACTTTCCAGAGATTTTCCATATTTCTTCCTTAACCTTTCCAAGAAAGATTATGAATGAAAATACATAATGAAAAAGATTACAGTGAAATAACAGTGCTTACCTGATTTCCACAAAATCTGCTACACATTGTCTGCCAATGGCTTCCTCTAAGGAGAAGTTCTTGAAGTGCAGTGCAATCTGTTGGCTGGTTTCCACTGTGATCCTATAAACACATTTCCAGTTTTTGGGGTAATTATTGGGGAAGTTTGGAGAAGTAATCATCCCAGAGTCTTCTGTGTAGTCTTCCAAGCATACTGTGAAAATAAACAGACCACAAGAGGGAAAATAGAAAATATTATGCTACATGTATAAGCCATTCAGCAATAAACATTTGGTTACTTTGAGCCAATGTACTTGATTTTCAATAGGCCATTCTGGGATGGTTAAAGAATGATTTCATTTCAAAACGAAGCTTCTAAAATCTCAAAGGTAAAAACAATTATTAACAGTAAATCTAAGCTAAGAAGTGGAAGTTTGTTATACATATTGTGAGTGAACAACTTTTTATGTTCTTGGAAATGTTGTATTTTTCCTAATTCATGGAAATTACCAAACATTAAAAATAAGCCCTGACAACAGAAATCATAGAAGGGGCCTAGAAATAACTCAGTTCTGTTCTCCTTTTCATAACCTTCCTTTAAAATGATTTTCACCAAAGCACATATTTATGAGAAATGACAAAGCAGGTACCTCCGCCATTCAGCGACAATAGAAGATGAGACTCAGGGAGCAGAGTGACCTTGCATCAATGCCCAGCTCAAACACTGACAAGCGATGCAACCTTGGACAAGTGACTTCACCTCTCTGAGTCTCATCTCTAAAATGGAGATGATAGCTATCTGTGAGTATACACGTGAGTCTTAGAGACTATGCAGTTAAAGGGTTTGGCACATGGTATGTGCTCAAAAAATGGTAGTAACCACCATTATGTTTCAAAATAAAACAGAAAAGTATAAAAGAAAAGCAGAGCATAAATTATGGGGAATAAACAAATTAATAAACAAATAAATTATGGGACTCCTTCACATAAAACATTTAGATAGTCCTTGGACAATTTTATGTCCTAAATAAATATTTTCTACTTTTAAGAATTTTAACTTTAGCTATCCAGTCATTCAGACTCTATATTTACTAACCAACCCAATCATTCCCCTCCAAAGCTGAGATATTTTCCAAAGAAAATCTAGTTTCAAGGTACCTTCAATTATATCCAGTAATAACATAAATCTAGTGTCCAGAGTAGACACAGGTCCTTGGCTAAAAGTTTTGGGGGATAATAAACTATTCTACTTAATCATAAGTAAAAACAAAAAAAAAAGTGAGGATGTTTAGGTGTGCTATTTCCCCAGTTGTTACTGTATAGTCTTACCCAGAAAAGAACAGAGGAACCACTGGTATTGAGAGCACAGAGACGCATAGAAAATACTACAGGTTCTACTACTTCTGTATAGCCTTCTGAGTGATAAGATTCACCAAATATTTGGTTTACTCTATTTTAAGCATTAAGTGATCAAGGCTTTACTGTATTAAAGGAATCGATAGTGATGTTTAACTTCAAAGATGAATGTCATACTTTTCTATATTTTTTTAGTCTGCCAAGATATTTTTTCGAGAGAGAAGACAAGAAGGAAGAGAAGGCGGGTAGGGAAGGAAGGAAGAAAGGAAGAGAAAAGACAGGGAGAAAGCAGGGGAGGGAGGGAGGGAGGGAGAGAGAGAAGTGGGGATAGAGGTGGTAGATTAAGTATTTCAGACCCAGTAATGAGTATTACTAAGATAAAAACTCATGGATCACCTGGGCACCCAATGAAAGCTATGACCCAGTTCCCCTGAGCTGATAGAACTGAGACTCATTGACGACTCCCACATTCAGATAGCTTTAGCCAGTAAAGCAAATATCTAGAGCAAATTATCTATTCATATCACTTGTTCTTAAAGAGATAATGCTCCTTGCTTACCCATTCTGCTTCCAGAGGGGAAATACAATTGCATTCAATATTTCTAATGCAATTTGTAATTAGTCTGCAGAAGAGTGGTATGTATAATCAAGTTCCCATGTAAAGAAACCTACTTAATGAAATTTTTGAGAAGGAATGATGAGTAATTTCCCTGTACCTTGTTCATATACAAGTCATTATTGCAGCATAACTATGGTTGGTTGTTAATTTCTACTGAAATGTTGATTTACATTTCAAGCTTCTTTTCTGTTGCTGGCACAAAGGTGAACACAGTCCCTGATGAATTCAAATGATCTTCTCACTGTTCACTTTGTCTGAAATGCTTTATCTAACAACCTCCCCTCATCCCCCTAAAATACTCTTTAACAATAAACTCTTACTCATCATTTAAGGTCAAATTCAAATACCATTTCCTCTGTGAAACCTTTCCCAACCAAGTAGAATTAATTCTTTTGTGCTCAATAAAAACTTTATGCAAACAGAAGTTTGAGCCCCAAACATATTTTACGATGATGATTTTTATATAAGGACATTTCTTCTAATAGACCTTGAAATATGAATATGACCTTATTAACCATTATTAACTTTTATTTACCATAGTACTTGCCCAGATCACAATGTATTGAAAACTGAGAGGAGCGAGGCAAGTATCGAATTTCCTCCCACTCTCTCTCCCCGTTCGATTGCCCCCTCCACTCTTAGCGCCTCGCTTCTCCTCTCTGTCCTATCCTCTCTCCTCAGTAGAATGAGATTCTTTAATATTTTACATTTATTAAAGCTAAATTATAAAAATGTCTGCTTCCAGCCATGACAAGTAACTAGTACTGCATTCCGTAACAACTACAATAATAGTATAATTCTGTCTTCCTGCCTGCTTCTTTATGCAATTTTAGTTATATCTTTTAATTCTATTTATTTTATAAATTCTACCTTACTGTTAAAAATAAGAAATAAGAAGAAAAAGCAATTTTTATATTTATCTAGTTATTTGCCATTTCTGGTCTTCTTCATTCCCTCTTATAGATATATATTTCTCTTTGGTATCCTTTGCCTTTGGTGATTATAATAGACATCGTGGTATTTCATGTAGTATAAGTATTCTAGTGATAAATTCTCTCAGCTTTCATTTGTCTAAAAATGTCCTTTTTGCGCTCTCATTTTGAAAATATTTTTTGATGAATATTTAAATCTATTTCTCCCTCTCAACCTTTTAATGATGTATCCTATTTCCTTCTTGCCTATGATTGTTTCTAATTAGAATCTAGCCGTCACTTATATCATGGTTTCCCTATATGCAGTCTGTCCTTTTTCTCTTTATTTTCCATGTATTTGTGAAGTAGGAAGAGAAGCATGTGAAATACAAAGTGTCAGGTATAAAATAGAAGGTGTAAAGTAGTAGCATATTAACTCTAAGCAGACTAACCGGTAAGTTAAGAATGCATATTGTAAGCCTTTGAGCAAACACACCAAAAACTGAGGTATCATTAAAAAGCTAACAAAGGAAATGGAATGGAATACTAAAAATATTCTATAAACCAAAAATAAGACAGGAAAGTGGCAACAGAAGAAGAAAGACATGTGTGAAAACCCCAAAGCTAATATCATTCTTAAGTAGTAAAGGACTCAATGCTTTCCTCCTGAGACCGAGAACAAGGCCAGTATATCCAATCCCATCCTTTCTACTCAGCATGGTACAGATGGCACTCGTCACTGCACTAAGATAAAAAGAGACACACAGAGAGACAGAAGGAGCTTGAAAAGGAAAAAATAAAACTGTCTTTATTCACGGATATGATTGTCTATATAGAATATACTAAGGAATCCACTAAGAAGTTACTAGAACTAATAACTGTGTTTAACAAAAAAACAGGATACAAGATAAGAATCTTTCCAACAAATAGTGCTTGAAAAGTTAAATATCATTTGCTAAGCAAACAAACTCGGATACATAACCCACATGATATGGAAAAGTTAACTCAAAATGGATCATAAACACAAATGTAAAACTATAAAACTTGTAGAAGAATGTACAGGGTATACGAGGGAAACTGTCATCACTTTAGCAGGCACAGATTTCTTAGTCAAAATACAAAAAACAGTAACCATAAAAAAAAAAAAGGACATATGAAATTTTCAGTTCTTCAAATGATACCATAAAAAAAAAAGCTAGCTATAAGCAGTGAGAGAAAATATTTGCAATACATTTATCTGGCAAAGGACATACACGTATTCAGAATATATAACATTCAACAATAACAAGATAATACAGGCAAAGATGAAAAAAACAAGATGTATAAATTGTCAATAAGCATGTGAGAAGGTACTCAGCACTATGAGTCACAGTAACATGCAAATTAAAACAACAGTGAGGCACAACGATACAACTACCAGAAGCTAAAAATGAAAAGATTGCCAGGACCAAGTGTTGGCAAAGATGTGGAGAGAGTAGAATTCTCATTCATTACAGGTGGGAATATAAAACGGTATAACCACTTTGAGGGAAAAAAAAAGTCTGGCAGTTTCTCATAAAATTAAACATTACTATATGACCCAGAAATTCTACCCTTAGGTATTTACCCGAGAGAATGGATAACATAAGTCCACAGAAAAATTTGTATACCAATGTTCATAGCAGCTTTTTTCATGATAGCTAAAAACAACCCACTATTCAAAAACAGGAGAGTATGTAATCAAATAATGACATATTCATACAATGGAAGGCTTTTCATCAATAAAAAGAAAAGAACTATTTATATAAAGAACGAATTTCAGAAGAATTATGCTAAGTGAAAGGAGCCAGCTATAAAAGGGTGTTCCCACTCATACTTGCCTTTTGAACGGGCAGAACTAATGGACAGTGACAAGAATCAGGCCTGCAGTTGTTGAGATGGAGGATGTGGAGGGATTGATCAAAAGAACCCAGGGATACTTTCTGGGATGATAAAAGTGTTTTATATTTTGAATGGAGTAGTGATTACATGGATGTACACATTTGTCAAAACTATGAATGAATTTTACTTCATGAGATTACAAAATAAAAATCTTTTGTTATATTAAAAGTTTGAAAGTTCCATGCAAAAATAGTTGAGTTCTCTAAGAAAATCCAATAAATAATTCAGATATCCAATAAATAATAAATAAAATTAAAATAGAAAAATTAAAAATATTTTGAAGGTATACCTACTATAATTAATAATACGTAATTAATATTAAAATTTGATCGTTGTTTTATGAGATTCACATATCTTATTTTATGGAGAGAAAAGCAATGGTTCTCTGAGCTTACTGTAGCTATTCCC